GTTATAGACATGATAAAAACTACACTGTTTGCTGATGGTAAGCATCAGTTGTTTGGTGTTGATGGCAGTAATAGAAGCTAACATATGTTATATATCATATTACATATAATGATGTACTTTTTTGCTGCCCAACTGATTTACTCCTCACAATGTTCCTTTAGGGTGAGTACAGTGATGTGTATTTTACAGATGAGGCAAGTAAGGTGCAGAGAGGAGAAATAACTCTGTCTACCATCTCACAACCAGAATGTGTTCAGTTTGCTACCGAATCGGTCTACTTAACGGCTGCATTTCACTGCCTGACCTGAGCATACACAGACTTGTCTGGGTAGCCCTGGAGCAGAGCAGATGAACAAAGGCCATCTTTTTATTCTTGCAAAACAAATTTTAAACGTTTTTTTTAAGTTGTTAAACATTTTTTTTTAAGTTTGGTCTCTGTTTTCAAATAGCATAACTGAAAGTGTGTCAGAACAGTCCACCATTTGATGTTGGAACAATCTAAGCATCGTTACTGCTCTGAAGGACTAACGGTCATCATTTATGTGGGTATTTGTGACTGAAAAGGTCAAAAGACAAAAACAGCAGTAAGAGAAACACTAGGACAGTTTGGGTGACAGTATCACATCATTCTTCAGTTTTACAGTAGTGTTGGCCTTTCTAAAGGAAAAATCATAAGGCGGCAAAAACAGAGCCATAAATGAACAGAACTGGGAACAGGTTAAGACCTCCTTGAAGACTTGAGAAACTGTCTTTTTGTTTCGAAGTGAAGTCCTGCATTGTGTAGAGAATTCTTCCTATAATTGTTCCTTTTTTGTATCTGCTGCTCTGATTTTCTCCACCTTTCTTAGGGTGAAAAAATTTCCTAATTCCTTAGTGTCTTTCTGAATTTTCAACACCTATTCACAGAAGCAACTTCAAATTATATCAGCATGGAATTTTGCTTTGAGTAAAGGTGTTTTATTAGTTGTGAAATAAATAGCAGAGGAGGTTTTAATAGTTACATTTTGGATTCGTAGGAGAAAATGCAAATGGGTAAAAAATCTATTATGCTTAGTGTTGAACAACTGCCTTTACTTCTCATTTTGCCAGCAGATTACTTCGATTCTATTAAGGCTCTTTTGGTCTGTATTTTTCTTAATACGATGTTGAGGTGGCGTAATGTATCCCTTATCACTGAATTGCATGTGTGACATAACATATATTAAAGCCCAGTACAATTTAGTCTTATTCCATATTCTTTTGCCATAATCATCGGTTAAATAAAAACCTGCTCAAGCAGATAACACCCGTCAGGGAATTTTATCATACTAAATAAAGTCTCCCTTGGTATAGCACATTTTGCACGCGACTGAGGTATCCCCTCGCTCTTCCATTTTTATTTTACTAATAATGTCCTTTAAGTTTTTTTTTTTTTTGCCTACCATGTAAATCTAGAGGTGTGTTTTAAAGTTTTTTCTCATAGTGAAATTATGAGATTTGTTAATTTCGTTTTGAAACCCCCATTTTGTGAGAGTTGGGCGTTAGTATGTCATGTGGCTGCTGTAGGTTACTTTGTTAATTGCTATAAAGATAAATTCCAGTAGCAGCTTTGAACAGCTTTTTAAAAGTATGTAACATACCTCAAAAAGCTCTATAGAGTTGGGTACGTCGCTAAACTAATAGCATATAGAAAACCTGGTTTGGGGAAGACGGTTCTCTATCCTTTATGGATCTGCCACCAAAAGTGTGAATTATTGTCCTAAGCAAAATGTGCTTTCCAGCTTTCCTCGTTGCTTTGACAAAGCCTCATCCCAGAATGCTCTGCCATTGAGCTCTCTGCTGCCCTTACTCTGGTATGAGGGTTTCTGCGCTGATCTTAGAGATATTCACATCAATATCTAGGCTAATGTCTAGTCGAAGCCCCTTGGGTTTTTGTTCTGAATTGCTTGAAATCAGCTCTCTCTCACAACACTGTTTGGCAGTTTTTCATATGTCTTTTAAATTTTAATTATAACCTATCAAGTCTTAAGCAATTACTTCTGGGTTAGATTCTTGATGAATGTCATAGCAGGGTGTTTTAATTTAATAGATCCAGAATAACATCTGGTTCTAATATTTTAAAAGCCAATTTATATGGAAATTCATTTAATACACAGTCAATACACGGAGACGTGCAAAAATCAAAGTCAAAATGGAAAATCAATTCATTGTGATGTAGTGGGTCTTCTGTTAACAAAGGATTTTGCTTAGGACTAGGTTTAGCTGCCAGTACTTAACACTCAAAATATCGTAGTTTAGAAAAGATAGCAATTTTTTTTTCATGCTCAAGAAATGGGAGGTAGTTTGCCCAAGGCTGGTATGGTCTATTGTAACAGGGACTCAATTTCCTTCAGTCTTATTGCTCTACTTTTATGCATGATTTCTATTCCTAAGGACACCTTATGAGCCAGTATGGCTGCTGGAACTCCAACTATTATGTCTGTGCTCCACCCAGCAGGGAGAGGAGGGGAGGATAGAGGGGAAGAATGCTAATCCTTTCCTTTTAAGGACACTTTCTGGAAGTAGAAGACAAAAATTATTCATACCAGCATATCTGGCATCAAGGGAAAATAGGTAACTTTTTCTAGATGACCCTATGCCCAGTTAAAAATTGAAGTTCTTTTAGATATTGAAAAAGGGGAGACTAGATGTTGGGGAATGATGAACCATCCTTGCCACACTGAATAATTTTCAAGACATGATTTTTAACAGATCTTTTTGCCTTTTTATTGATCATCTAGAAAAGTCAACTAGTTCCCACAAGTATTAATAGCTATCAAATGTAAAAGAACTAGCATGGTGTTTGGCATATAGTACAAAATCATCAACCCCTGATCAATCTATTTTAATTGTAACTCCCAAAGGCACCTAACTTCATAGGTTATTGGTCAAGCAGACTTTCATAAGGGGTATTTTGTAGCTCGTACCCCAATCTTTGTATAATAATAGCAGCAGCTAACAGGGCAGAGAGATCATTTGCACTGGGGTGTCCAGAACACTCTGTATCTGCAAATCAGTGTTCAGTTTCTCTATGTAGAAGATAAATGAATAATTACAAGTGTTGGTTAAATGATTTCAAGGTAAAACTATTATCACAGAAACTGAAGCTCGGAGAGGTTAATTGGGAAATAATTTAGAGAAACAGTTGAAAACCATGCCCAGTCATTTGATCCCAACTAGAATACTAACTCTGCATTTTCACTTAATATATTACCTTGGATGGCTTTCTTAATCTGTTTGAATCTCTTGTTTTTGCAGTTAGGCAAAAAATGAGAGAGCTGGACTCTGGAATATTTCCCCTCAATACAGGGCTTTTCTAACCTGCTTTTGCTAATATTCATATGGAAGATACTCTGATCATACTTGCCTTGAAACAAAAGGCAGAGCTGGTGGAGAGGCTAGAGGCAAATGACATTAGAATATGCCATTACATATTTCGCAACCACACAAATGCCCATAGCTCCTTAAAAAGCCTTGATACCAGACTAGGCAAGAGTTTTCTAATTCTGAAACTCTCATTCCTCCTCCTTCCTAGCTTATGTGCCTCTTCTGTGTTCTGCAAATAAAGAGATAGGAGGTAGACGAGGGGATACAGGAGACTCTAGATGTTACCCTGTTTTCTGGGAAGCACAATGACTAGGGCAGGGACCTTCTAAACTAAATCATTTATATGTCACCATCAATATCTGTGCCCTACCTGCATATACCAGTACTATTGGTTCCTTAATATTTATGTTTATACTGACTTTCAAATTTTAACAGCTTAATTCTGAGCGGATATCTATGAAATCGAGCTTTGATGAGATAATTACATTTTCTTCCAAATAAATGTCAAAATAAATATTACTATTAATTTTTATAGGGTGTGTCTATCTTGTCACATGCCTCCAGTGTCGGTGGATGACATTTTGGGATGCCCAGAATAGTGGAATGAGCATGACCCATGAAGAAGTTCTACACTGCTCAACTTGTGATTTGGGGCTGGTTATTAATTAATCTCTCAACCATAACCTGAGAGGTGTGGATAATACTATCTACCTCATCATAGTTGTTCTCAGGGTTAAATGAAAAGGGATAGACAAAGAAGACTGGCATGGTGCTTGGCAGTATAGGAAGTGCTCAGCAAATAATACGTCCTTTCTTCTTGAAGTCTGGAAATACCAGGCATGCAAACTGGAACTATTCTCAAAAGCCGGAGACAGTGAAGTGCTATAATGATTTCCATAGGTGATAATAAATCATATGCAAGCTCAGAAATGAGAAAGGCTGAAGTTTACTGGAATAAGGCAGAAGGGAAACATTGGGTAGGTAGAGAGCTGTTCTTCCTGTCCTCTCCAACTCTCCTTGCCCTTGCTACACAACATGTGGTCCAAGGATCAGCATCATCTGGGAGCTTGTTAGAAACATATATCTTTGGCTTCTCCCCAGACCTGTTGAAGCAAAGGTTTCCTTTTAACGAGATCCTCAGGTGACTTGTATGTATGAGAAGTATTGCTCTGGGCACTGACATTCTATCTAAAACTTACTTCAAGTAGAGGGCTGTTTCTAGCTCTAAGTGTATACCCTGCACCAGTATCACCTGAGCCTTGCTGCTTAAAAATGCAGATTTTGGGACCTCACATCAGCCTGGGACCTGGAATATGCATTTTTAGGGAGTGTGCATGTGATTTTTAGGACATTTGTTTGGCAACTGCTACTCTAAGGCTTAAATCAATTGATAGAAACTCTGCCTTTATTCTTCAAATGTATTTGCATTCCAGTGAAGAAGAAGGTCTTTAAGGAAATGAAAGACAGCCCTCATTGTTCTGTTAGTAAGCATTAAGGGGGGAACCTGAATTCAACCTGTTGTGCCTGGAGTCCCCCATCACAAGGCCACATAATAGCAACGCTTCCTAGGAAGGCGATATCTTAGCAATGTCATTTTTTCTTTTCTTTTTGTATTTTACATTTGATTTCTTTTTTTGTAACATTTTGTTTTTTAGCCGTGCTATCAAGACTAATCAGGATCTTCTCCCAGAAACTCCATGGACGCACATTTTCTACAATGATTTTTGGGGGACTCTTCTAACCCACAGTGGCAGCCACAAGTCCTACCGGCCACTCTGCACTCTTTCTTTTCGCCTGAACCATGCCATTGGAGGGTTGAATCCCTGGAGCTACCATCTTGTCAATGTCCTGTTGCATGCAGCAGTCACTGGTCTCTTCACAAGCTTCTCCAAGATCCTCCTCGGTGATGGATACTGGACCTTCATGGCTGGCTTGATGTTTGCTTCGCATCCCATTCACACAGAGGCAGTGGCCGGAATCGTGGGACGAGCTGATGTCGGGGCCAGTCTCTTCTTTCTCCTCTCCTTGCTCTGCTACGTTAAACACTGCTCTACAAGAGGCTACTCAGCCACGACTTGGGGCTGGTTCCTGGGGACAGGACTGTGTGCAGGATGCAGCATGTTGTGGAAGGAACAAGGAGTGACTGTTCTCGCGGTTTCAGCGGTTTATGATGTCTTTGTCTTTCACAGGCTGAAAATGAAACAGATATTACCTACCATTTACAAAGTAAGTGATTGTTGGCTCTTGAGCATTGGATTACTGAGTAATCTACTTGCTTTGTCCTTTGCCACCATTTAAAAAGCAAATTTGTTCCTCTTCAAGCAGAATTTTAAATAAGTTCCTTTTTGATCTTCGGTAAGTGGAAGTGTCCTTCTTGACCTTTCTCTGCTAAACAGAGTTTCAGTCATTGAATGTTTTATTTCTCAGATTTCTTATTTTCATAATTTCAAAGGTGGTAAAAGAATAATTTTGCCTTGTAAAGAATATGCATCTTTTTTTATTCTGTTTCTGCCCAAATTCTCTTTGATCCGATAAATTGTCTTTAATGTGTATTTGTAAAATTAACACAGCTGATAATAGAAGTTAGATGCTGGAAGACTCTGTGGAGGGGAAATCCTCTGACATTTGTTAATATTACTCTTCCTGAGTTGACTTTGGAAAACAACCCTTCTCTGTAGTGCACTGGGAAGTCAAATTCTTAAACAATGAATCATATTCACCTTTTCCTTGTTGTAGTGGATAAGAATAGAAGAGTCAAAATAAAAAGTGGTTATTATTAAGTTTTGCCCAGAGGCCAACTAAGACCTTTGCCTCAGGGCTTAATATTCCTTCTTCTGTATTCCCTTAGTGGTTTCCAATGCAATGTTATTTGAAGGTCACAGAATCATTTTAGCATCCCCATTAAAGAGAATGAGCAATTTTCTGCTAGAATATTAAGGAGAGACATTGAGGGGACTGGACTGGGCATCTTGAGAAACTGCCTACTTTCCCATCTCCCCATCCTTCTTTGCTCAGCTGAAACTTACCCTTGCTTTGACTTTAAGTGTAAAGACTGAACTTGGCCAGGATTCGCAAACCTTGAATGTGTTTTAGACAAGCTCCCACCTTTCTTTTGGATGCAAGGAAGGAATTACGGTTTTGGATACTGGATATGAGGAAACTATTAAATTTTTCTCATTTTGACTACTCTTTCTCCCCTCAATTACCAGTTTTCTTTAAAATTGAATTGGGAAGAAATGACAGAAAAATTGAGAAAAATAGAAAAGTGAACATTTGTTTTTAAAAATTGAGATTTTTTTTTTTTTTTCACTTAGTAGGCAGAGTAATCATTTCAGTGCTTTTGCTCGGCAGGAAGCCTAACCTTTTTCTGCTTAGAATTCAAGTATCAAGGGCTTAATGAAGTTCTTTCGTGATTTCAATTAAATGCTGAAACTTTACAAGAAAACTCTGGTTAGAGTCTGATGCTTGAAAACAACATATGGTTTGAAAGTCAAGCTCTTAATTTCAAATCAATTTTAATTATTTCAGTATTTCAAGGAGATTTAAGAGAGTAAATTGTTTTCTTCTAAAATAGTGTCATCAATAGTAACAAACTTTCTTGTTTTACTGGAAATATAAATAGAATAAGTATAATTCATGTCCTTGTCCTTATGAAGATTGTGATCTATTTGAGGACACAGCCTCAGTGGCTGTGTCAGGACCTCCTGTTGGTAGCCTGTGGAACATTGTGGTTTCTTATACAGAATTTCCATTTTAACCATCTCATGAATTAGAAAATTGTTTTGATATGTTGATTCAGGACTTGCTTTTAGGATCTTTTGAAGTTCTCTTCCAAGACATTTTCAGTGTTCTAAGCATATTTTCAAGGTCAGAGTTGCTTATTATAGAGCTCCTTGCTCTAGTATGTTCTATACAATATTTGGGTCATCCTTATAATAAAAAACTTATTCATTGTTTATCTGAAATTAAAATTTATCTGGGCATCCTATATTTTATCTGGCAACTTTATTCATGTAACTGCTGCTTAAGAAAATAAGAACTGGCACTAGCAAAGGAATTTCTAAGAGTGGAGAGTGTGAAGTTCTCTGTGCTATGAGAAAGAACTTAATACTGTTGCAAGTTGGGTCCTGAGATGTTTTTAAATGGATACTTGCCCGGACTCTCCTGGCAACCGCCGCTTGCAGTGCTGGGCAGCAGCAAGGACGGTAGTGGGGGCAGCAAGATCCTTCATCTGAGAGTTGCTGTCTCGTCTTGATTCTTTCTGTCATGCTTAGGTTTGGGGCCAGAGAGCTTAATAAAGACATTGCGAATAACAGACATTATGGATTTGTAAAGAACTGTAGAGATCATCATTGCCACTCCCTTGATTTCCAGCTGAGGTGTAGAGAGCCAGAGAGGTGTAGGTTACTCAGAAAATGGTAGAATCACTAGGACTAGAACACACATTTCTGACTGTCTAGTGAGCTCTTTGCTACACTCTGAAAATGTGAATTAGAACAAACAGATGTGAAGTCAAATGACTACACAGTAGAAAGGAAAATAACGTGGAATAAAATCTTAACCCATAGAGTCTGAGTAACGTTGGGCTAATTCTACGATATAATTTTTTCATTTAAAAATGGAGGCAGTTATTGTTAATCACCTAGTGTTATAAGGATTATATGAAATTGTGTTTCATTATATGAATTTGTGATTATATGAAATTGTGTTCAGTGTGAGCTGGAGTGTTCTGTATCTGGACAGCACCTAATATGTATTAGTTGAAGGGAGAAGAAATATTGATAGAAATTATAGTTCTTTATCTTTCAACCTTTGCTTTCTTAAGATAAACGTCTAGTTGTTTTTATACATACAGTGTTCAACAGCATATAAATAAGGGCTGCTTAGGAATTGACTAAAGCTGAAGTAAGCAGATCTAAGCACAAACCTTCATTTAGAATCTCACAATTGTGAAGCTCATTAACACTAGCATAGATTGCATGTGGAAGTTATGGAAAATTCTATATTCTATCTGCAAGATACATAGATTTCTATGCTTGGGGTGAGTTAGAGGAGATTGTTCCTCAAGGAAGCAGATTGAAAGACTTAAGAAGGTCCTTTTCAGCTTTTAAAGAATAATCATATTATTATAAATACCTTACCAACTCTGCATCATAGTTATCATCGTCTGCCAGGTTAAATAAACTTCCTTGCCCTATCAAAATAGAACTTATATAGAAACAGGAAACTCCAGCACACAAATGTTTAACTCTATTATGCAAATTAGAGAACCAGCCAAATGCTTAAAACCTAAAAAATGGCGATCATCTTAAAGCTCAGAAGGCTTAGGACCAGAGGGGTAAGGCTCTCCATTTTTATGCTTTGGTCAGTAATGTTTTTTATCACAAATACCAGTCACACTCAGCTTCTCTTTTCCCAGTGTCAGTGGTTTGGGTTCTATAACTGTTACTTGAATGAAACGCTGTCTCCCAAACTCACATGCCTACCAGGGCCATGCAGAAGGGACGATGGGGAACTGGAGGTCCTGCCCTACCACTGTCCTCTCCACTCTATTATTGCCTTAAGAAAATGAAGGTTTCTGTCTGGTAGAGCTTAAGATTTTTTTTTTTAAAGAAGACAGAAATCTGAATTTTTCTGTGTATGTGTTTTTTAATATTGGTTACTAATTAAAAAGCAGATAAACCTCATTTGGGCCAGACAAAATCTTTGAGCTGATTAAATTTGGCCAGTTTGGACTCCTATTATAAGATCATGCAAATGATGCACATGCCCATATTATGTGTCAGGCTTTTGCAATTCTGAAAGGAAATGTGGGGGCCATATTTTTCTTTGATAAAATGAATGGAAAAGATAAATACCTGGCATATAGTAGATATTTAGTATTTAATGAATAGTGTTTTCATCTGCAAGGCACTGTTCTTACTGTGCTAAAAATGTTAACACGTTTAAATGCTTCTTGAGAGAAGTAACATGGCTTATAAAATAATATGGTTGAATGCTGACAAACAGTAATTTTGTCAGTAGTAAGAAAGATTTGTCAGAAAATACTAACTATATAAAACCTTCAGAAATATGTATGAACAAAAATCAGTGTTTTAAAATAGCTCTTAGCCCCAGGATTCTGTTTAATGTGTTTCCTACATTATCCTTGGCCTCTAGCATACCATATGGCATATAGTAGATACTTAGTAAATTATTGAATTCACACTTACTTAAGATTTACCTTTTAAAAGGATGTGGCTGAAATGTTAAAGTGAAATCCTGTACAATGAGAATTTCATTCCTGAGTTAGTGGGGTCTGGAAGGTGGGATTAGAAGACATGCATGTCAGAAAAATAAATTTTCTTGACCTCTGACCAAATGATGGTTTTCACGTTCCTTAGATTACTTTCACTTACTTAGTTTTATGTGGTCAAAAAAAAAAAAAAAAGTGAGGGAGAACCCTTGAAATACACTTGAACTAGCCTTACAAATAAATACTAGACTTTTATCTCCCCACAAAATTTTTTACAAGCCTCCCATGACCCCAGGAGGTACATGGGTAATAAAATCAGTAAAAGCAACATTTTTCTTACTCAACATCAGTCGTGGCTTGCCTAGTGGCCTTTTTCTGTGCTTACTTAACATCTGTTAACTGTTTTAATGTGGAAACATCTTTTCCCCCTTTATTAGCCTCATAATCACTTTTTCAGTACAGGTGGAAAATTTAAAAACAAGAAAATCTGAAAGTCAACAAAGCAAGTCTAATAATTGCCCAAGATAATTTGGAAAGATGAAATTGTTTTGGTTTGATCTTTTCAAAATTTCTCTAAAGGTGACTGCCTTTGTTTTGCTATAATTGCTTCCATGATGTACATTATCTGGGTAAACTCTGCTTAAAATTGAATTGTGTGGCTCTTTCACATAAACAAGACAAGGTCATTTTGTTGTAAGGGAAAATGGGAGGCATTGTCACTTTTGAAAAAAACAAGTCATCTCTTTTTAGAAATAGATTTTTTAATGCAAAGCAGGGTGTGAATGATGGAAATTGCTCATGATGAATGAAGTTCACCTTTGTCTTGTATGTTGCTTAAACTTGATTCTATATTAAGATGTAGTGATCATACCAAAACTAACAAATACTCCATATTACCAGATCATTTACGGAGTTTATCTTAAGAATGATTTCTGAGGGTGACAGTTTGTTCTGTTAAAGGTTTCTGGTTCATCACTATCTGAGCCGTAAA